AAGTATTGCACCCCATGAATGGGTCTACAGAAAGCATCTGACAAGCAGAGGGCAACTGAGGATGCAAATGATATGCAAATGAGCACTTTCAAATCCCACCTCCCCACTCCCAACTCCCAGGCCTTACTTTACGTCGCCCTGGCTCCTTCCCTTCCTTGTGGGGGCCCGGGGGTGGTTGCAGGGGGGACGGTCCAGCTAGATACTGCAATACCCACGTGGGGATGGAGATACTGTGAAATACTGTAAGGTCTTTTGGGAGGCAGAGGAGAGCAATGGCCCACAGGGCCACCTCCGCCTCCAGCCCCAGGAGCCCCCGACTGCAGAAGATATGTACAAAGTTACGTCAAGAATTGTTTTGGCACTCAGATCTCCATCTGGGTTCAGGCTGGAGATTAAGGGTGGGTGGGGGCAGCAGCGACGAGAGGGTCGAGAGGGTCGGGGATGGGGAAATGGGGCCTGCCCTCCCCCAGAGATGAAGAGGGCGTGGAAAAAGTTACCCAAGTGCCCAAGCTACAGCCTCCCATCAGGTGGAAGGGCCGGGAGGGAAAGTCAGTGCAAGGTACCTTGAAGGCTATTGCTTTCTAGGGATTTTCACATTTTGATTTGGGGGTGGCTCGCTAGTGAGCGGCAAGGGTCTCCCAGGCTTTAGGGGTGGGAATCGTCTCTGGCTTTTCTCCCCTCCTTTCTTTTGGGATCCAAGGAGGCTGGATTCCCTCAAAGCCATGAGAAGAGAAGGGTCTGGAAGACCTAGGAGGGGACGAATGGGGGAGAGGGCGGGCATGGGAAGCCCCTCCCCCAGAGATGCTGATGATGGAGCCAGGGCACTGGGGGCCCTGCTTTGGGTTGAAGGAAGTGGAGGTGGCCTCCGAGGGGGAGGGGGAACGGGTGGGGGTAGAGGCGGGTCTCGGCTGTCCTAAGTCCACAGGGTGGTCAGGCCCTGAGATCTCGGCCTGCCAACGAGGCCTTAGAGCTGACCACAGCCGCAGCGCTCAGGGAGCCACTCCCAAACCGACTCGCAGGGCTGTCTGGCTTGGCAGACTCCATCGGAACGTTCTAGCTCCTCAGAGCCCCTGGTGAGAGCTCCAAAACATTCTGATCCATCAGATACCACCAAAGTGCTCCAGCTCGCTGGAAACCACAAGCCAATCTAATCCATTAGACCACGCGAATTCCGGCCAAGGGACCCTACCATGGCTCACTGAACTCTAAACTGGGCCATGCTGGCCTGACAGAGCCACCACGCATTTGGCTCAACCAGACTCAATGAAACAAAGCCACGCAGACACAAGCATGCACACAAAAGGCAGGGGTGGGAATGGGGGTCTTTAACAGTAGTTTTCACTTGCTCCATCTCCCGCCCCTCCCTGCCAGGCGAGTTCACAGACTTGGTACGTTCGGATGGAGATGACCCTGACAATATCGGGTCTTTTTCCTCAGTCTTCCAGATAAGATCCAAGTCCCACCCCTTATTCTTCTCCTAGGAAGACCCTCCCCGGGGTCAAGGCCCACCAAAATGGGCTACCGGTGGAGAAGAAGGGTCAGTGACTGGCTATGACCCAATACAGGAAGTGCATGCTTCATCCCAATGACATCGCAGGAAGTACCCTGGAGACACCACAGGAAGTACGTGCTCCCATGGTATCACTGAAGTAACCTTCAAGGAAGGCTCATTGAGACATCATAGGAAGTATCTGTCTCTCCTATCATCACAGGAAGTACCTCTGAGGAACTACTTCCTGTGGCATCAAAAGGAGCACCAGAAGCCCCTGAAAGTACTTGACTCAACATCACAACAAGGAGCTTCATGCCCCTTACTTTAGGAAAGGCCACAGGAGATGCCACAAGCAGTTGCTCCAGCCTTTCCCAAGAGTCTTGCCCACTGGACCGGCCCCATCCGAGAGCTGGCCTCATTCCCAGCAGCACAGCACCACCCCCCACCCCAACCTGACAAAAAAAAAAAGAGTTAAAAGTTCCACCTAGGAGAGAGAACTCCAGTGGGGGGACAGCAGCTGAGAAGATCTGGGAACTCTGGGGTCCCTGCTCCAAACGCCCCGTCTCAGCTCGGACCCCTCTGCTCCCTCTACTCCCATCACTTCCCTCGGATCTGGAACTGAAGCAGGAAAGGTGGGGTGTTGTTTTTGGGGGGGAGGCCCCTCATTCTAGGTGACCCAGAGGCTCCCTCCCCTCCTCCCATATGGAAACAAAAACTTATAAAGGGGGGGTGGGGGGGTGGAAATCCTTACCGGAAAAAAAAAAAAGGAGGGAAAGAAAGAGAAAATAACGCTTTGTTTTCTATTAAAATCAACAAAATGCAATATATACAGATATCACACAGACCTGGGCCCTGGGAGAGGAGAGTCAGGCCCAGTCAAGCAGAGGGAGGAAGGAAGGAGGGGGTCAGTTCAGGGCTGGGGAGGGAGCTTCTGGGCCCCGTCCCCAGCCATCACTCAATCCTGCCTATGACTATCAGAAGGGAGGGGAGTGGGTCAGACCTACCCCAGCCCCAATCCTGTGAGGAGCAGGACTATTCCGAGCTGAGGTCAAGAGTTGGGGGCGGGGAAGGAGGAGGAGGAGGAGGCGGAAGAGGAGGAGGGGCGGGGAGGAGGGTGGGAGCACACACCACGGGCCTCATCCCACTTTCTGGGGGTTTGAGGCCCTCACTCCCTGCTCGTAGGTGACCCGCTGGCTGATGAGGTATTGAGCGGCTTGGGTGGCCGCGGGGCTGCCAGTGATGGTGACCCGCCGGTTCCGCGTGCCTGGCAGGAACTCGCCCTTCTTGGAGATCTGGATGCGGGCGCCTGTCAGCTCCTGGTACTCCACCAACGTCTTGCCCCCCTTGCCCAGGATGGCTCCCACCAGGTTCTCAGGCACCGCGATCTCCACCAGCTCCTTGGCACTCTCGGCTGCCAACTTCTCTGCCGTCAGAAAGCCCCCGGCCGCTCCCGCCGCGGCTGCCGCGGCCACCAGCGGGCCACCCCC